AGCGTTAGAGAAAAGCGAATTAAAGAAAAAGAAGAGTTTTTGAGATTTTTGTTGCAAATAAAAAGTAGAGAAGATTTGTGTGGAAGAAATTTAATAACAAAAACGGTAAGGTGTCGAGAATCCCTAATGCTTCGTTCACCAATTCAAGTTTTGATTCACAAAATAAAAGGACCGAATAAATTAAATCTCTATGTTGACTCCGAAAATATTATTATTACAAGTTATCCAAAATCGACAATATATAATTTGACAATATTGCAGTAAAAGACAATTTGCAAAATAATTTGAATAATAAAACAATGCGTGACATAATTACATAAGAAAAGCATGACTGAACTTATATAAAAATTAGCACACAATATTTTGAAAAGTAATACAAAAATAGATGAGATTTAATTCATTCAGATGTTGAACTTTACAACACAAAGAATCAAAACCCCGAATTGGGTCGCTCAATAGAAGTTCACCTCTAACCTCACCAAGAGAACTCTAGCCTAGCTTGTAAAACATTCTCACAAGTTCTAGAGAGAAAATATGAGACTGACAACAAGACGACAGAAAATTGAATATTAAAAACTTTCTAAAACCTTAGGCCAACCCCTCTATTTATAGTGTTCAGAGGTTGCCTATCAAATAAGGAAATAAATAGTAAAACTAGAAAATTACAAAAGAAAAGGAAACAAAATAAAATTACACATAAATTAGGAGAAATCATATATTTGATTTGGGGAAGAAATATGATAATTTGCTCTGATTTTTAGGGAAGAAATTTGGATTCATCTCAAAGGGGACACGTGTCGAAGCTTGGATGGAGGAAGGGAATTTATTGCCCCATGTCGCGCGCGGAGTGGGCGGAAGGAGCTGGTGTTGGTCAGAGCAGGGGACATGTTGACAGCTAGCGCGCATTCATTGGGAGGTCAGGCTGGCATCGCAGGTGTGGGACCTACGCGAAGGGAAGCTTGGACGCGCGGTGATGGCCACGTGGAAGGAACGCGCACGCTGAGGAACTCCTGTGCAAGTGACGCGTGCTGGAAGTGTTGCAGGCAGGCTATCACAAACTGGGGCCCACGCGTGACTTGGCTCGGTGGCTTAAACGGCTGACGCGACTCTTCTCACTTTTTGGCTTATGAGGCTCAGCTGGATGGCTTGGCTCGGGTGGTTAAAAATATGACTTTCATGGCTTATTTTTGTGTAACTTTTTACACTGCTTTTTATCTGTAAATAATTAAGCAACAACTAAACAAATTCTAATGAAAAATATTCTGAATAAAAATAATGAATTTGTTTAATTAAAGCTTAAATATTTTAATATTATATAATCAAAAGCAGTATTTAATGTGCATTTTCATACACTAATCACAACCCCCAACCAGCTTATTGCTAGTCTCTAGCAATCCAAGCGCAAGAGAAATCATGTCACGAAGAAAATCTGAGTCTCAACTAGTTTAGTCACCTAAGTATTTCAAAGTGTCAGTAAAAAGTCAAAAGGTACTATCAAGATTATTTCAGTCGTAACTCCAGAGTCGTGTGTGTGTGCTCCAAACCATAACCTTCTTACCACTGACCATAACACATGCAGCTTTGAAAAATTCACCAAGGAGAAGTCTCAACTCCATTCATCTCATAGGTGTCATAAATATTTAAGTGCAAAGGTTTTCTCTCATAGAGTTAGAAATGGAACAATCAACGTTCAGTGTGAGGAAGGTAAAATTTAGGACAAACGATCAAACGAACATTGATCAAAAGATAGGTTAATAAACTACTAGAATATTCCACCATTCTTACCATAAATAAGCTTTTGGGATTTCATTCGGGTCAAACAGAAATTTACAGAAACGAACAAAGAGCAAAAAAAAAAAAGCATAAGAAAAATAAATTACTTTTTTTTTTCCTTTTTTTTTGGCAAGAGACAACCTGCAATAATGAAGTGAATGTAGAAAGGTGTTCTTTTGACAAACAACTATATAGGATCGAATGTGATCACGACCAAACTACAGGATATGTGAAATGTTGCTCTTGCTCAGTTTTTTTTTTTTTTGAAAAATAAGAAATGAGGCTCTATTACATAAGATCATTCCTATCTAACCTAAAATCCATCCCTCAAGCATATGCACCAAGCATACCACTAACCATGTAATGATGTTCTAATAGTGATTTTACCAGCTCAAAAGATCAATGAAAGTTCAAAAGTCGTTTACTCTACTCACCAAAAATTAAGCACTTAAACTTGAGAATTTTCTCAGCTGACATGCATTAACATCCATCTAACCACAAGGTTTAGCATGTGTAAAAGAAACTTTGGAAGTCATTTCTTAGTAACCAAGACAGCAAAAATTGACCCAAACCAATCATTTTGAATCATACTCAGACAACTTTGCAAAAATTTTAACCAAAATATCAACATGACAAAAATTGCTCTTACGCATGAATATGCTCACCACCCCCAACCAAAATCAGACAGTGTCCTCAGTGTCAAAAATTATGAAAATATAAAGAAAGAAGACACCTGGACGATGAGCACTTCACATATGAGCACAGCTTGAGCTTCCTGATATGATTCTCCAAAAAAAATCTAAAAAGAAGCAAAGAAAACAGAAAATGAAAATATGATACAGGAGATGTGAGCAAACTACTCAGGGCTGGTAAACGGGGTCGTCGAGAATGATCTCTTCAACCTGGTTCACCCGCTCTAAGTAATTCTTCAGATGTTGGCCATTTACTTTGAAGATTCTCCCATTGGTCGAGCCCTCAACCTCGACAGCACCATTGGAAAAAATGTGTCTCACTACGAACGGGCTAGTCCACCGCGACCTCAACTTACTGGGGTGGAGAAGTAAACGGGAATCATAGAGATGAACCCGTTGATTCGGCTCAAAATTCTTCCTCAGGATGTGCTTGCCATGAACTGCTTTCATTTTTACCTTGATCCTGGAATTACGTGCTTTCAGCATGTCGATCAATCGTTGTTCTTACAATGCATTGAGTTTAGACGACTTGATGACTGGGAATGTGTCTTTATCTCTCAAGAACGCATGTTTTAGGCCCTCAGGTAGTTGGGCTAGCTTGACTTTTGGAGCCTCCTCGGTGGATGATTTCAGTTTTTCTCCTTCTGTTGGGAGCTCCTCAAAACATGGTGGCCCAAACTTGGTTCCTCTGTCCTGTGAGTTGCTGAAAATTGCAGACAAGTGAGCCAACTCAGCAGAACCGGAATTTTTAGAATCAAAATTTTGGAGGAGGTATTTAAGATCTTCATAGTTGCTTTACAGTTGAACCTCTTCCTCGACAAGTGTGTCGATCATGAATGTTTGCTGACACTCGTCGTTATCACGTGGTTACTTTTGAATATGAAAAATATTCACCTCAAGGGTCATATACCCGAAAGATATCTTCATGAGACCATTCCTACAATTGATAAGTGCGTTTGCTGTGGCAATGAAAGGTCTTCCTAGAATGATGGGAATGGATGACTCCATATTAACCACGGATTGTGTATCCAAGACAAGAAAGTCCACGGGGTAATAAAACTTGTCGACTTGCAATAGAACGTCTTGCACTATTCCTCGTGGTCTTTTAATGGATCTATCAGCCAGTTACAGAACCACAGATGTGGGCTTAATCTTTCCAAGACCCAATTGTGAGTAGACCAAATAAGGCATGAGGCTAACACTCAATCCTAGGTCTAGTAATGCTTGGCTGAATTTATGTGTCCCGATCTGGCAAGAAATGGTGGGACAACCTGGATCCTTATACTTCGGCGGTGTCTTCTGCTCAATCACCGTACTTACTTGTTCCATCAAGAATGCAGTCTTCTTAACATGGTGATTTCTCTTTATAGTGCACAGATCCTTTATAACCTTGGCGTAGGCCGGCATTTGCTTGATCACATGTAGTAAGGGAAGATTGATCTTTAATTGTGTCAAGTGCTCCAGGATCTCACTTTGATTTTCCGGCACTTTCCCAGTAGGTCGGAGAGCTTGGGGGAAGGGCACCTTTACGGGAATTTTTGTTGGCTCTTCTTTCTCCTGAGCCGATTCTTCATTACTCAAAGTGGTAGTACTTGTCGATGGCGTGTCTGAATTCTTACCACTTCGAGTAGAGATGGCATTAACTTCCTTGATATTTTGACCTTCAGAGTTGGAAGTTTGAGCCATGTGTTGTCCTCTCAAATTGGACTGGGCTTGTGATGGAAATTTACCGCGCTCTTGAATGGTTAAAGCTTTTGTCAACTTTGTGATCTGACTTTTTATTTCCTTGTTCTCTTCCACCAGCTGCGTGAGCATCGAATCAACCCTTTGATTTGTTTTATTTTGAGCGTCCATAAAAGTTTTTAGGGTATCCTCTAAAGAATTCCCTTTCGGCTGCATGTTATTCTGAGGCACAAAATATGTCCTTGGTGGTTGAGATTGTTGCTCTGATATCCATTACCATCCAGATGATTATGCATGTTGGGTTGGATCTCTCCAACTGAAGTTTGGGTGGTGTTTCCAGCTATCATTATAAGTGTTTGAGAAAGGTCCATAAGGCTTATTTTATGTGCCCAATACATTGCACTGCTCCTTGTATACCCCTCTCATTTCACCAAAAGTGAGACAATCTTGAGCCAGATGGCCCATTCCACCACAAACGAAACAAGGCTCATGTGGCTCTGTCCTTGCTACCATGTGGGGTCCTTTACTATCTTTACTTTTGAGGGCCTCGATTTGCTTCGTCAAAGCTTCAACTTGGGCCTTGAGGCTGTCATATTCCCTTAATTGATAAACTCTAACTGTTCGGGACCTACTGGTACTCTCAGTAGCACTCGGTCCAGTCCAAGTATGAGCTTTCTCAGCTAACTCATTCAGGTACTCGATAGCTTC